CATATAATCAAAACACAACTTGTGCTTGGTGTAACTTACCTTGCGCTTGGCGCCATTGAGACAGAGAGCTCTCTGTCTTGTTCACGCCCGACATGATTGAGATAGGAAACCCCTGGAACCTCACATCTGACATGACAAAATCTCATGCTCGACCTCATGCCAATCCAAGGCGATTCTCTTTCCTCACTTCCAACACCACTCTTTTGGTGTCCAAAGCCAATCCAGGCAGAGACAATCATCTCACCTCACGTTTGGTGTCATTCAAACCACGCTTAATGTCACTTCAACCTGAGGAAATTCTTTCACCCCACGCTTGACGTTACCAACCCTGCACCTGACATGAATAGAACATAAACCCTCATTTGAAGGCACATGCACGACATTAGATTTCTACAAATGCATATCACAAATTTGCACTCCAAGACCTGAAAATCGGTCCAAAATAGACATGTAATGCAACATATAATGCAAATACAACATAAGCAATTCAATTCCAACCCCAATAACAACATGTAACAACAATATGGGTCATTCACCTAAAAATCCACTTTTATGAACTCATGACACCAAGGTTTTTCCAGTCATCGATTTCATCTCAAAATCATACACGTAATCATGCATTCAACTCATTCATAATACATTCAACCATCAACCTTTCGAGATTCAAGTTATAGCATTTCTTACCTCAAAATCAAACCAGAAAAAAAAGGAAGAAGGAAGAAAAAACTTAAAGCTCCTTCGAAGAACTCCATACCAACTCTGGCCCTCAACTCCAAGCTTCAAATCCACCACCCAACAACAATCCTCACGCACTAGAGGAATCTAGGAGGAAGAAGAGAAAGGAAAGAAATTAAGAACCAAAGCTTATCTCACTAGATTTTCTCTCTATAAGATTCTGAAGAATATGAGCTTAAGAGACTCAATTCTTAATAGAAGCCTTATATACATTTTTCCCTTAGGGTCAACTGAACTTTTGCTCAGAGACTCTATTAACTAAACTCTTAAGAGTTCTTGAACTCTCAAACCCCCATAGCACACCTCAAGCACCATATACATAATTATTGCTACAAAACAACATTTAACAAACTTATAGTGTTACAAGTTTGTTGGTATTAAAAAATATAAATATTTCAATGGATATTTTAAAGAATGAATTTTGTAACACTTTTTAGTTGAATTTACATATATTTCACTCATTCAATAATCTCACTTAAACATTTGAGATTTGTTCTTCTATTTCTCATCTTTCATTTCTCTCTCTCTCTCTCTCCCTCTCTCTCTCTCTCTCTCTCTCTCTCTCTTTTCAATCAATTTTCTCTCTTTCCTCTCTTATCTTTTGCTTTCTACCTCATTTTTTTCTTCCTTTTATTCATTTCTCTCTTATGCTCCTTAATGAGTCATTATTTTCCCTTATTTTCTTACCTTTTTGTGCTTATCTTAATCTCTGATTTGTGCTTAATTGTTTATATTCTGCATTGTTTTCTATTTGGGCTTTAATTGGACTGGTAATTCATATTTTAACTAAATTGAATTTTCTGGATCTTATTATCCCAATTTTTATTTTCAGGGCAATTTAATAATTATTTGGGCTTGGAATAAATTTTTGGACTTCAAGAAGATCTGCCACATCACATGCCATGTCACCATTGCACCACTTATGCCATATCAGCATTTTATTTTCTTTTTCGTTTATTTTTATTGTATTTTCGGGTCAGACCAGTGGGGGCCCATTTTTACACTCTATTAGGGTTTTTCTAGGGAAAGGAGCAGCTACCCACATGCAGACTTGATGTGACCACGTTGTTGTCTCTCTTGGAACTTTGTTTTTTTTCGTTTTATGCTGGTGGCTCTTTGTTCTTCACGGTTTCTGGTTGTTTTCTGGTTGATCTTCCTCTTGTATCTGAACATTCACGTTTTGCTATTATTATTCACGTTTTGTATTCTGTTCCTGCTTCCATTTTCGTTTTCTTCTTCCTCTTCTCTGTTACGTTTTGCTTGCATTGCTGTTGCCACTTTCATGTTTTCTTCTATTTTCGTTTCTGTTGCTATTTTAATGGAGGGCTAAATCCCAGGGTTTGGGCCCTTGGACAGAATGCAATCCTCTGAAAGAGGTTCTCTGTGCGTTGCATTTCTGCTCCGCTTGATCCTCCCTTGTGGGATCTCTGTTCTGAGGCGTTCAACATCTGAGCCATGCTTAATGACTCTGGGTTGTTCACGTTCAGTATCTCAGGTTGCTTAATCCTGGGGAAGGAGGTCTTGCAAGGTTCACGTTTGCTTAATTCGTGTAGTGAGGTCTCATGTTAGTCTTCGCTTAGTTGATTAATCATGGACTGAACAGGATTATGTTTGGACAGATTATTTGTTGTGAACCAAGGAAATCAGAGGTGCATTATGTTCAGGGGTCTGACCTATTTTAATTACTGCAAGTAATCCATACTTCTGCTCGTTTTATTTAACTCGATAATCTGAACCAACCCCCCCACTGTGTGTTTGAACCTTTGACTGAGACAATTGGTCCTTGGGAGACGACCTAGGAGTCACTTCCTAGTACTACATTAAAAGTTTTTTTATTTGACCGGGTACGGCCTCGATCACTCCTTCTTTCTATCTTTTTCAATCTATTAATATTGATGTAAAATTTATTAATATATTTTTAATTATTAAATATTTGAATTTATTTTTACATCATTAAATATTATTTATTGTTAATTTTTTGAATTATTCAAATTTAACTAAAATTTATTTTCAACAAAATTTAATATTAAAATTTCAAAAATTTTATTAAAAGATTTTTTTGTATATGTTAAAAATTAAGTTGTGTTTTCTAAACAAATATTTGAAATTTAAGAAATTTTAATTAAATTACCCAATAAAACAATTAAAATGTCAAACATCTAAACTTTTAAAAAAAATTTGTCTAAACAACTTAAGAGATTTTTTTTATTTACAAAATTAATATGTAAAATGTACCTTTAAAAAAGATAAAATATAAAACTTGAGTGTTATGAGAGTCAAACTTTCACTATTTAAACTATATGCAATATCAACTTCAATATAATTAAATTAATTAATATTTTATTATCTCTTTACGATTTTATATGTTAATATTAATATAATCGTTTCTTTTATATTGGCTGATGCTTATTGCAATATCATTTATAATTAATATAGTTTTTTCTGTGAAAAAAACTATTTAATATAGTTTAAAATTATTTTGGTAGAATATTTACATAACGATTTCTTTTACGTGAACTTTTGTTACAGTTTTCTATACTTGAAATTTCGTTTATGTAATTTTTTATATATATATATATTTATTTTAAAACCATCAATAATTAATATGGTTAATATTTTATTATGTTGTTACGGTTTAAATTTTTTATAATTAATATTTTTTTTTTGAAAAATCTCAGAGAAAAATATTAATTTAGAAATTGTTTATTTGGAGAGAAATAATATTTGTTGTGCCCTTTTAATTTTATTTTTATTAATTTTAAAACTTTTCATAATTAATAGTTAATATAATTATTTTTTTAATAGTATTATGTCGTTACAATTTCAATTTTCTATAATTAATATTTTTAAAATCTTGAGAGAAATAATCTTTTAGAATCGTTTAGAAATAAATAATACTTGTGAAGTTGTTTTTTTTAATTATTTATATGTATATTAAAATTGCCAATAATTGATAAAATTAATGTATTATTATGTTATTTTTTTACAGCATTGTTTATTATGTTACAATTTCAATTTGTATTATAATTTTCTATACTAGGAATATTCTTTACTTAAATTTTGTGAAAGAAAATTAGTATAATTTTTCTTATTTATATTACATAAAAAAAATTGCATGAATTTTCGTTACAATTTCTTACACGTGTTTTTACAGGAATTTTGTGAATGAAATTTTAACATAATTTTATGATTTATATTCATTTTAAAATTATTCATGATAAATAATTAATATAATTAATATTTTATTATGTTATTATAGTTTTAATTTATTATAATGAATATTTTTCTGGGAAAATCTCATGATGAAATAATATTATGAAGATGAATTATTGCATGGAGAATTTATAGCAAAATTCTTCACTTTAATATAAGTAAGATAGGATAAAATGTATAATACATCAAAAAAGTTAGG